ATAGACTAAATGAACACTTATTATAATTCTATTGTTTTTATTTTTTCGTTCTTTATAGATGCCTTATAAAATAATCTGAACAAAATTAACGAATTTCTCCAAATATGACAAATTAATTGTCACCCAATCTAATGAACAGTCGATTGACGCATTCATTTTTCGAAAAATTTAATTCGCAACCAATAGTTCCAACAAATTCGCTTCTAGGAAGAATGAAAATAATTACTGCGGTCACATACTGCGGAGACGGAAATTATGCCTTTGATTTCTTAACAGAAATTTGATATTTAGTTCTCTTTCAGCTTGGATCCTTTTAGCTTTCTATTCTTGGTTTAGTCGCTTGGGCTGCAAGCAATCAAATGTTTTTTTTATATTTCATAATTTACATTTGTTTTACAGTATCATGCTATAAATTACTAATTTAAAAAAATGGCAAATATTTGTTTAAATATATATAAAATAATAATAATTATAATATTCCGTTTTACTTATCTCGAAAAATAATGTGCTCAAAGACTAAATTAAGTAATTTACAGTGCAATTCGAAGAAAATAAGATGTTGGTCGTAAAAAGGTTTCAGAAACAACCATGAATAAAGATCTTAAATGAATTTGTAGTTAGAACAATGCAAAAAGTAAGCTGACGAAAAAATTAATTGTTGATCTCCTTTTTATTGAATGATGATAATTATTAGCAACAGAAATTACTGATGTACTAGCTGAATTTAAAGACCGAGGACAAAGCATAAAAACTTTAATGTAACAATAAAAGGAGAGGAATGATTAATATTAAGTTCTTAAAAAATTAAAAAGAAATTATTAATTTTTTGGAGAGAGTGAGAAGAAGAAACCCAAAGCCTATGAAGAAACTAATATATCATATAAAGGTTATTAGAAAATCGATTTATTTAATTGAATTATTCGTTTAGGATTTAGATGATTATCAGGAATTTATCAAAGTATCCATCCTACTTAGGTTTACAGCTTTCTGACGAATGGTTGAATAACGAATGACAATGTTTAATTAGTAAACAAATCATTATTTCAATTAATTTTTTTTAATTTATATAATCAATATTAAATTTGCGCCAATAAAATATATAAGGTAAAACTTGCACATTAAACCTAAAAGAAATAACCATGTTAAAATAGTTAAAGTAAAAAATTAAAATTATCATATTTGGCTAAATAAAACTTCTAATAAGCCAAATTTAAATCCTGCGATAATTAAATTATATTACTGTTAAACGTCAGAAATCAGTAATATAAATTTTTTTTAGAAATGATTAGAAAAATAATAAAATCATAAAATTTAAAGGAAAGAAAGGAAATACATGATTGTCGTGAGAAGAAAACTAGAAGGAAGTCTATTAACATTTAAACAAATGTAAGTGAGATAAAAGTTTGTTGAGCTAGATAGGAATTTAATACATGTCAAATTATCATATTTTAACAATTTGTGCATTAGATAATCAACAAACAAGAGCTGAAATTCTACAAATAAGTTTTTTAACATAATTAAACTGTAAATAATTTACATCATCTTTATTGAATGTTTTTTTTAGTTATTTATTAAACTCAAATTTTGTATTAGATTTTTCTAAATTCCAAGTTGACGACTTGTTGGAATACGGTCTTACTGACGCAATTTGCATATGTATGTATTCGAAAATTTTTAAATTTAGATTTGGAATATTTCAAAATCTCTCTTTTATGTAATATTTTAATGCTCGATATTCCCTCAAATGGTAATGCATAATAATAATAATAATAATAATGTAAATAAAATTTCATATTACATGTATTTGTTTGTCAAGGGTTCAAATTCATAGGCATCGCATCTATATTTGCTAAGATGAAACTAATAAATTTGATTTGTAATGATCCTACCAGCTTTTGTATGCTAATCAGATCCAATAAACTTTTGAAGTTTGTTAAAAAAAATCATGCTTGAAGTTTTCAAATATTGCAACAATTCACGACTAGTTGATTTTACTGAAATAGCAAGTTCTTGTAATGTTTGAGCTTCTTGGATTCATGTGGGTTGTTTACTATTAAATAAAGTTGCAAGATATAGTAAATCATATGATTTTAATAGCAAACCTCCCATATCTGTAAAACAAATATTAACAAATGTCTAAAATGCAATTAATCATATTAGAAAATCAATTTAAATAATCAATTTAATAAATAATTACTACTCCCACAGTTAATTCGAGTCATATAAAAAATCTGTGTAAATCTAAGCTTGTTTGAAGTTTTTAAATCGAATTTTTGGTATCGAATTTTTATTTCCCTACAGATTAAATATGAAGTATCAAGAATAGTCTAATCAAAAAGAAAATAAAAACATTCCAAATTCTTTTTATTTAAAAACTTATCTAATTTGCGCTTGTTCACATCATCCAATTTTTTTCTATTTGCACATATATCAATGAACGAACAAAGGTTACTTCTTGGAAATAGAGGTTGGAACCGGTTTGGTTTTCGAAGTTCTAAGCCAAAAATCCGACCCAGTGGTATCCTTGTTTATGTAAAACCGAATCAAACCGAATAATCGAATCGAATTAAACCGGTTGAGCCGGTTGGTAGTGTTATGTTGAAGTATTTTGAACATATAACCAAATATGAAAAAGGTGACGCAAGTCAAAATTGTCCAATATAAAATATTTCCTTAAATTTATTATTGAATTTTAACTACAAAGTTTTTATTTGTTTTACAATAGCTTAATTTATTGAATTATTAAATAAATTTATTTCAATGACGTAAACTTATCACATTTTTATTAATACTAGTGGAAAAGTTAGCATATATTCATTCAGTATATATAATAAACATTTCGTGAGATAACAAAGCATCACATTCCATTTTTTCAAATATAATAAAACCACCACGCCACGTTTGCTTACATATACCAATAGATTTCATTGTATATTATAATAAACTATATATTGTCTTAGTATTCAAGAATTAAAAACTAAAATTTTAAAAAACAATAAATTACCAAATATAGAACTAGTTTGTGCAATCAAATGCAACAAAAAATGCGTATTTTCCATTGCAACCGGTCATCTAAATCGGATGCAACCGGTTTAACAGCAAATCGAATTGATATATCCGGTTCCAACTTTCTACGTGAATCTTGTCAACTTTCACCAATCTAAATTAAAATAAATACAAAATAAAAATAAAGGAGTGAAATGTATGTACATTATGTGAATGAATCTAACTAAGCAAATAATTAAATATTTTTTTTGATTCATTACACCAAATACGATGGTAATAATGACCATCGTGTGTCCAGTTTAAGAAAATATAAATGTTAATTTTGGATAATCGGCTAACAAAAAAAAAAAAAAGTAAAATACAAAAAAAATAAAATAAAAATTAATCAATTATTAGGTGCTTTATTGAATAAGTTCACATGAATGGGATGCAACGTCGCTAACGAGATCAACGAACGGGCACTTTTTCTATAAAAATTTTAATTCACGCGTAAGATTTGCTCATCATTTGTTCATCCGAGTTCAATTAGCCGTTTATCTTGGAATCAGGTATCGCATGTTTTGATAATTTACAATATTTTTCCTATATATATTTTTTTTTTTATGAAAATAATTTTAATTTAAAGTAGAATTCAATTAGTATTAAAAATTAATTGTATGTCGAAAACGCGAACATCAACGAGTTTTTAAATTCATGTAAAACACGAAAATGTGAACCTTAAAAGCACTGTCGTTATTATTCTGCAACGTTCATTATCATTTATGATACTAAGTTAGAGAAATTGTCTTTACGGATGATGTTCATGTATGATTTCTTTTACACAGATAAGTTTAAGTATATTAATGGTTTATTAATTTTTTTTTTCCTTTTATTTAAGCGCTCAATATATGGCAAATATCTAAAAATGAAAGCAAACCTTTCTTTCCAAGAGATGGAACTATATTGATTGAAAAGGAATTTTCTATGAAATCATTCGAGATACTTGGGAAGCTTGGGATATAAAATAATTTCAAAGCCTTTCCAAATGCTTACAAAAGCAAACGTATTGAAAGAACTCATACTCATCTCTATGATATACAAAATGCTATAACGCAAATGGTATAGCAGTCCCAACCAATTCGTCCTATTATAAAATCATGTCAAACCCTCTCCTGAGCGTATTTTTCACAAAAGGAAAAACGAGCTTCTTTGTTTCTAAGGAATAATGTCAGGAACAATTACCTGAAATTCAACGTATGCTGGTTTCAACAAGTAAAGTTTAATGCACAATATCCGTCGAATAGTCCTGATATTAACCCCATAGAAATCCTATGGAGTATAATTAAAACAACGTAGAAAGGCGATGCCAAAACCTCTTGAAGAATTAAGGATTAATATTCGGATTCTATTATAAAAAAAATTTAATAGACTTAATGACGTTGTGAAGCAGTTATTGAAAGGAATGAAATTCCCTATGAATTATTTCCGCAGTTTTAGATGAACTATTTTGGTAATTATTTGCTTCATTGTTTGAAAAATTTTTTAGCAATATTTGCAGCAGTTTTTTTCGGGCGATGATAGAAGAAATTTTCTAATTTTTACTATAAGATGAATTTTTTAAATTTTTTAAATCCGAAATTCAATGAGGTTGGTTTATAATTATTTTTTAATAGAAAAAAGCTTAATCAGCATCAATTAGGTTTGACGCAAGGATTTTTAATACGCCTCGGGCCCTTCCTAAAATAATAATAGCCGTACTTACTGCACTAAAAAATAGATTCAATTTTTTTTTGTTTCGATAATACATTATACTTGATTTTAACTTTTTAAATACAAATCCTTCATAACCAGTTTAATAAATTTGTAGAACTATTTAAAATTCTATATTAATAATAACAATTATTTGATCGTTTTATTTTGCGGAGGTGCATGATGACAAATTACGCCGAAATGATCGGCAAGCATTGTTCCGAATATATATATATGATCGTTTTCAATTTTTTTTTCAAAAAAAAATGACTTTGTACCTTCCTGATGATTGCCTAAATGATATTTTTGAATATTTGAAAAAAAGGGATTTACGCTCATGCTTGTTAGTGAGCCGTCTTTGGTGTAATGTCTCTGTTCGAATTTTATGGAGAAAAATGCAAAATTTTAAAACTTTAATCACTTGTCTTCCAAAGAAATCCAAAGCAATTTTATGTAAGATTGGGATCATAATATCAACCTCAAGACCTTCATTGTTTAATTATACATCTTTTATCAAAATTCTTTGTATTAATGATCTTCATCGTGCAATTATAAGATTTCTCAGAAACCACCCTTCGACTCCAAAAAGAATTTTTTGTATTATGATAACACGGGAAATGTTTAAAATGTTTATGAATCAAACCTCTTTGAAAATTTTATATTTTGAATTTAACGTAAATTACAACATCCCTAATATTCCATTTACCACTTATCCTGGAGGAAAGGATTGTTTAAGTAATCTTTCTGAAATTTCATGTAGTTCAAATTTATATCCTGAATTTTTTTATCAGATATCTCGAATTTGTCATAATTTACAATCACTAAAAATAACTTTTGAATATAACATCTCAAATGGATTATCGGAATTAATTTCTGTTCAAAAATATTTAAATTACTTGGAATTGGATTATAAAGATTATCATTCAGTTGAATCAGAAGAATATTACAGCTTTTCAGATGTATCAGATAAATCTGACTTGGATTATTGTAGAAATCATTTAGATGAAAGTCAACCACTAGCAAAAATTCCAAACACATTAACCAAGTTACACATTGATGGAAGACCTTGTCACATGCAATTGTCATTTATTTCTAAGCTCTCAAATTTACAAGAACTTTCATTATCAATTATTAGCAAAAAAGGATTAAAAGAATTTAAAAATCTTCAACATGTTATCTTTCCACAATTACAAATTGTAACTTTTGAATATAGATGTCCCAAAGTTAGATACCTGATCAATTTCTTAGAAATCAATGGAAAGAATTTTAAAATACTTGATCTTGGCAAAAATGATTCTTATAATAATTCATTAAATTTAGCTATAGCCAATTTTTGTACAAATCTGAAATCCTTACGATTTACATATACAAATACAAACTTGAATTATTACTTGGATTTACTAAAAGTAATTTTTAAAGGTTGTGAACAATTAGAAAGCCTTGATTTTTTGTGCGGTGATTGTGAAGACTATATATTGGAGCGTGAATTCTTGGAGATGGTTGTAGAATTTTCACCTAAAAAATTTCACGAGTTAAAGTTAGAAATGGGATCTTACGTAGATGCAGATACGGCATTTCAATGGGGATTTAAGACTATCTTTAAACGCTGGGCGAATCGTGTGCCATGTATTCCACTTTCTTTAACTATTATTACGAAAATAGAATCGGAAATTATTTTGGATAAAAGAAATGAGAAATTAATTAAAAAGTATAAAAAATTGGGTGTTATTAAAGAAATTAAAATATTCAATGAATATCATAATCGTGGTTGTCATTAAATAAATAAACACTTTTAGGATGTTTAATGAAGAAAAATTATAAATCGTGGGTGGGTGACTCGGAAAGTGCGTTTGATAAGCGCAATAACTTGCAAATCCAAAATTCCAAGAAAAAGCGCAATATTTTTTTTTAAAAAAAAATAAAAACGACATTTTACTTATTATAGTTATAAATCAGTTTTTTTTTTAATACGTGTTAGTTTGAATGAATGATTTTATAAAATTTAAGAAAATGTAACAAATCTAATATTAACAATCATGTATTAAAATGTGTGGGATAAGCTTCAAAATGGATTTAGTTATTTATATATACATAGATTATTCTTATAATTTCCTTTAATAAAACTTTAACTTTATAAATTGAATGACCTTTTGATAATTCTTTAAAAATTTAAAATTAGTCCTGTGTCAACATAGTTATTCGACCTCTTCCATACAATGATAATTATTCATTCCTTGAGAAGACACTCGTTTAAATTAATTTAATATGCTCACGCTTCCTCAAATCCATCTAGAAAGGAGGAATGACGAAAGGAAGAAACGTTGAATAGATTTGGTCTCCAACATGTAAAATTAGTCTAGTATAATATGTTATTATAATGAAATGGATAAGGTGTGTAAATGTAGGTGTGGTGGGTAAAACCGTTGGATAAAGTAGGTGGAATCATATGATTTACTATGTTTGTAATTCGATTTTAAACCTCTAATTACTGAAGTGATAGCACCAACAACAGCACGTATACCACTTATATTTACCCGTGAACCACTACTCTGACCGCAACTGCTACCACCAGTGACAATATTGTCAATCGGTGGAATTGTATTTGTAGCTGGTGTTGAAATTGGTATTATTGCTGTATAGTCATTGTTGCTGTTATTTTCATTGTTGTTTGTTGTTTTATTTCAGTTTTTACGTTGCTTACCATGAACAGTAAATATTTTTTTCCTTTATTTTATTTTTTTATTTTTATTAATTATATTGATAATAGCAACTTCAATGACCTCGTCTGTTAAAATACATGGGAAATGCAAGAATGAGCGCGAGAAGAAGTAATTAGTGTACTTGAAAATGAACCAATTAATACCTACATCGAAAAAATTCTAGGCGACTTCAGTTAAAACAACACGTTTTTAAGGAAATGAATATATCAAATCTTTAAATAATTCATCCGCCATCTGCAGCCATAGTCCCTTGAAAATTATGAAAATCTAAACAATACAATGAAAAAAATAAATCCCGCATTTTCTTGGATTCCATTTTCTTTTTGTGCAAGAAATTGGTAAAATACTATCATAGGGTTGGATTTTAACGGACTTTATAACAAATATTATTGATAAATTTATATAGGAGAGATATAAGTAAAATTGTTAAATTAATTCCATGGTAAATTTTGAAGATATTTATTACTTGTAAATGCTTCTAGTAATCTTTCTCAAGTTCCTGTTGCAGTGATGAAACTTACCTTATGAAAAATGGAATCATACAATTTATGTACAGTTATTGAAACTTTTTTTGCAAATGTTTTACATAAAAATCGTTACCGAAAGAAAATTTTAAAGTTTGAAATATTACCAAAAATGTACGGAACGTTGTATATAAATTTAATATGCACTCATTTTTTTGAATGGAAAGTTTAATATTTCTAAAAGTGGATGAATTTCTAATGTAATTTACTTCCTGGCATTTCAAATAAACGTACGTGCAAATACAATTCAAGGTTATAAATAACTGAATTTCACAGTTTATTTTCCTACTATAGAAAATCGTCGAAAAAAAATGAACGTACAGGTTCTAGGTTATTCAGTTTCTCTATATGGCACACTGCCCAAATATTATAGTGAAAATATATGTAGATGGAGCTGGTAACTTTCTTTTAAAAAAGAAATTATATACCTTTATTTTAAAATAATTCATCCATGTTTCAAAAAACTTTAACATTTTTGGTAGCTAAAATATAAATACAATTTTATCTAAGGATTATGGTATTTTACCAAAAAAAGACGAAAAAAAATATTTACGACAAACGTGACGTAAGGGAGGTAATCAATAAGATCACCTAATCATCCGGGGCATCTAATTCATTAAATTGAATTATGACAAATTATATGATGGCGTCCGTCCTTCCATCATGAAACAAATATTTATTTGGCGTTAAAAAAATGTTTATGGCTATGCTCCTCTGCCTCTTACCTGATATTCAAGAACGTAACCGGCTAACACAACCAACCCCGCCACACCTTGACGCATAAATATTTTGTAATGTTTTATAATTTATTAAAAAAAACGAGGTAATAATATTATTTTGAATAGAAAATAAAAAAAAAAAAAGTACAAAAATTAATGCACAGAAATTCACATTTTTCGTTCCAAACAAAAGTGTCAAATATCGAAAATTCAAGCATATACCCATTCATTCCTGCCAGGTTCGTAATTGGAATCGTGGACAATCCTACGCATTCAGGAAATATGTTAATAAATATCTTATTTTCATTAGTATCTGAGCAAGAAACGAAGGTACCATTTTAATGATACTTTCTGTACATTTATATATATATTTGTACGTTTTCTGAACGTTCTTTTTTTATGACATATAAATAGTTTACGGTCATAACAAATAAAGAAATTGAATCATCGTCATTACATTACATCATTGTCGATGATTTAATATTCTTGTCAAGTATAAATAAGTCCCGTTTTCGCAAGTTTGAGTAAACAAAGTACAATGAGTGCCTCAGACAGAAATGCCCAGACGACGAACTCATCAAGGACATCGGGTCAGGTCTCAACTGGGAACGTAAGGGTTTTACATCCATTTTGGAATGATCGTATCAAGGAGATATCGAGAAGTTTGTGGTTACCCACAAGGACCGGTTCTGCCGCTTCGCTTTTGTATTTGTCGAATAGATCTTTGTCAACCATGACCCAAAGGTGGTGGTACTCAGTTCAGACATTAACGTTGATGACACCGAATCCGGTGAGCTTGCCGAGGACTTATTATCAATCGTTACTATCTTAATGGCAAGACACAATGAGCTCAGATCAGCCAAGTATCGAAACGACGAAGAGAAATTGAAAACACGAAAGATACTGATTTATCCAACGCCCGAAGAAAGAGAAAAGCTAAGAAAGTGGATGGGAACCGTGAGGTGGACATACAATAAAGTTCTTGAGATGGTGCAGGAAAACGGGATCACTGACATGAACGTCATACGAGAGCTCTACCTGAATTATAAATGCTTCATTGAAGAATTTTCATGGGTAAAAGAGACTCCTAAGGAAGTACGTCGTACGTGATCTGACAATTGATGAACGCTTACAAAACTTACAAGAAATAACTTCTTACTCTAATTGTTAACGGAGGGTCAGGTTTTGGCCTGAATTTCGGACTTGAACTTTTATGGTATGACTAACTCTGTTTATTCATGTTGGATTCAATTTCAAAGGGTCATAACATTGATACGTAATAATTATTTGATATCAAAATGATGCTATGCTATTTAAAGCATTAATTTAGACGAAATTAGAAATATTTACACAGCCTTGTACATGTATTGTCTACACCAAACATCAACAATTTACGCCACAAAATAACAAATTGCAAAACGCCAGTATAATTATGTCAATATTTTTAAAAGCACAGCCATATTTTCTCTTACTATTTAAATGAATCGAAGAGAATTAACTAAAAAATTTAATTTCACATTGAATCGCTTAAAACCAAAATAATTTTAAGAAAAAAAAGATATTTCGTTCAATATGAATATAAACATAATACTTTTACGAAACATATTCATTACTATGGAAGTTGTTAACATTCAAACCCTAAATCCATTATGAAATGTATTTAAATATATAAAACTCCACCTATCAACATTTCGGAAAGACATACGCGTTCTTTCACGGCATAAGATTGGATTTCACTTTCATTAATAAAAAGAATGCCATAAGATTTAAATGGAAGGAAAAGTTAACTTTTCAAGATATTTGATTCAAAAATTAATGATGCACTATGGAAGATATGATCCAATCGTCTAGAATTCATTTGAATCAACATAAAATCGAAGAATCACGGACAAGAAATTATCCTCTAGAAACATTATATTTTTAATAAAAGAAGGAAATGGCTGATTTGAATGCTTCTATCGAGAAGAATGAATTGTTTAATTTTTTTTCAAGAGGTACTTCGTCCATTTCCACCTTGACCAAGCAAATATAAATTAATAGCTGATCATTTCTGTTATGAAGAATCAAAATTTTCGATCTCTTTCAGGAAGCATTAGAATGTAAAATAAATCAGCATTAACAAAGATAAGCGATTAAAAAGTGTAGCATGGATACCACTACCTGGAAATAAGTTTGCGCGGTCAGTTTTTTGAATTTTATTCGAAATTGTATATAATAAAATCAATTGATTTTGGTACCAATTGAAAGCCCTGATTCTTGTTTATATAACTGTTTGTTATTGTAACACATACAAAATAAAAATAATTATAAACATAAATAAATATAACGTAATGATAATCAATCTAACAACTTATTTCTAACAAAATGGGTAAAAATCCTGAACTTACCGTTATTGAACGAGCACAAATAATCGGACTATATAAAAGTGGCCACAGAAAGTCCGATATTGTTAGAATTATGAATCGACCAGAGTCCACAGTTAGAACAATAATTCAACGATATGGAGATTCGGATGACATGTTAAGCAAAAAAAGAAGTGGTCGGCCTCTGTTACTTGATGATAAAGATCGCAAAATTTTAAAAAAGATTGTTAAAAAAAATAATAAAGCTTCAGCTGATATAATATAAAAGAAATTTTCAGCAACAACTGGTCAAGATATTTGTACCAAAATAATTCAGAAGAATTTGCATCAAATTGGATACAATTCTTATTAAGCTGTAAAAAAACCATTTTTAAATGAAAATTAACGCCAAAAACGGCTAGAATGGTGCTTAAAAAGACAAAATTAGACAGTATAACAATGGAGAAATGTCATATAGAGCAATAAATCAAAGTTTACTCTTTTCATAATGATGGTCCTTCTCGAGTTTAGCATGAATCAAGCACTCGTTTTAATATTAAAAACCTGAATCCATCTATTAAATATGGTGGTGGCAGAGTCATAGTTTGGGGATATTTTTCAGGCAAAGGATTGGATCCTTTAGTGAAAATAGAAGGAATAATCAATCAGTATAATTATATAAAAATCTTAGGTGATAACCTGTTGCCATTTATTGATTCAAAGTTTTGTAACCGATCTTATAAATTTCAGCATGATAATGTATTCATTCATACAGCCAATGATGTTAAAGTATGGGTTGCTAAAAAAAAAATTAAAATATTAATTAATTGGCCTGCTCAATCTCTGAATTTGAATCTCATTAAGCATCTTTGGGATCATTTGAATATTTGTTGTGTAACCGTTCAGATCTACCTAAAAATTTGCAGATTTAGAAATGCAACTAAAAGAAGAATAGAAAAAAATTTCACAAGAAACTTACCTAAAATTAATTTATAGTATGCCTCAAAGAATAGAAGTATGTATTGCCAATAATGATTAGCTAACTAGATATTAATATTTTGTTAAAAAAAAATGATAATAAATTATTTTTCAAAACTGCACAAATTTATTTATTATTTTTTTAAAATCACGCAAACTTATTTCTAGGTAGTGTAATATTAGTCAACCAATCCTTACTGAAGCTAAACCAGATCAAATTCTAATTCAAGAACAACTATATTCTTCACAATATTATGAAAATTTGAAACAAAAGTTTGATATTTAATCCCCTACTAATTAAAAATAAAAATATTATTGATAAGGACTGAGAAATCGATATTATTGTCATAACCAATTCAAAAAGCTAACGGATATATGTAAATTATATCAAAAATAATAGAAATATTTGTAATTGCTCTTGAATATTCCTGAGAAAAACCAAAAATACTTCCTTTAGAAGGAAAATAACAGTAACAGTTAACTATCTTTCTTAAGCAAAATGATGATTTATTTGTGGATGATTTATTTCAATTAGGACATACCAATATAGAAACATATCATATATCATTAAAAATAGATATATTATTACATCAAAGAGCATATTAAGTTACTCTCCCTAAATAAGATTTTATCAAAGAAGAAATTGATCAGATGCTGAAAAACAAATTGATTCAATTATCTGAAAATTCTTGGGCTTCTCCTGTATTTTTAGTAAGAAAGAAAAATAGTAAGTTAAGATTCTATATTGACTATTAGAAACTTAACAGTATAATTTAATGAGATTGATTGTTATTCTCTTTTACGTATTAATAAACTTTAGATATATTTGGCAAAGCTAAATATTTTACACCACTTGACTTAGCTAGTAAATACTGGTAAGTTGTTATGATACTTAAGGACTAACAAAAGTCTGCATTTATTACTAATTATAGATTATATAAATTTACCTTCATGACTTTTGGATTAACTAATGTACCAGTAATATTCCAAAGGCTTATGAATAAAGTTTTTAGGGAAGAAATTGAGAAATATGTAGCTGTTTATCTAAATAATATCATTATCTTTTTAACAACTTTTGAAAAATATCTTATGTATTTAAAAAACATATTTCAATGACTAAAAAAGGCTGAGTTGAATTAGAATGAGATAAATGTGAATTTGAAAAGCTTAAACTTGCTTTCTTAGGGTATATCATAAATGGACAAAAAATTTCTTCAAACTCATCAAAAATTGAAAAGATTACAGACTTTTTAATACTTTCTAATATCATTGAATTTCGTAGATTCTTAGAACTTACTTCATACTACTGCCAATTTATACAAAACTTTTTAATAATTGCTATACCTTTACATTTTCTATTCTAAAAGAAAATTATATACTAATAGATGGAAACTTAGTAATAAGCATTTGAATATTTAAAGAAATATCTCATAACAGCCCTTATTCTTATTTATCCTGACTTTTCTAAGAAGTTTTGCTATTTACTAACAGATCATATATAAGACTGAATGCTATCTTAACTCAACTGAATAATTAGCAAAAAGAACATGTAGTCACATATATCAGTTGGACTTTTAACAATACTGAAAGAAACTATATATCTACTGAACTTGAATGTTTCGCTACTGTTTAGGCTATGAAATATTTCAAGACATATCTTTTTTATCAACCATTTGATTTAATCACTGACTATGCTATACTATAATGGTTATTCAATAAACCTGACCTACTACATAAATTTATGAGATAAATTGTACAAATCATAGAATTTCTTTATAATATTCACTATCGCAAAGGCAAAATACATCAAAACGCTAATATTCTTTTCAGATTGCCTTTTTATTAATCAAAAACATCAAATTATAATTAACATAGAGTAAAAGCGAAAGCGTTAACAATATGATTAATGGCTCTAATATTCAAAATAGATTTAGAATTATATCAAATCAAAATATTCTTACTCATCTACACTTACACAACAACTTTCTATACAAAACAAGCGAAATATTATACTGTTTATAATTACCTTTTCTACTAATAAAATTCTCAAAATCCTTCAAACTCTCTTTTTGTTATTAAATTAACTGAAGTCAAATCCCTTTTACACAACATTTACAATAAACCTCTAGAAGGACACAGGATGTGATATAACCTTCAGCCAATTAATACACAAATATTATTGGTTAAAGGTATATGATATAGTAAAAGAATAGGTGAAAATA